CCTGGCTGTCTGGCTGGCTGGCTGACTGGCTGCCCATCTGCCTGTCTGACTCACTGCCCGTCTGTCTGTCTGACTCGCTGCCTGTCTGATTCACTACCTGCCTGTCTGACTCGCTGCCGTCTGTCTGTCTGACTCACTGCCTGGCTGTCTGACTGCCTGTCTGATGCGCTGCCCCTCTGTCTGTCTGACTCACTGCCCGTTTGTCTGACTCGCTGTCTGTCTGACTCACTGCCTCTCTGACTCACTACCTGCCTATCTGACTCACTGCCCATCTGCCTGTCTGACTCACTGCCTGGCTGTCTGACTGCCTGTCTGACTCACTGCCTGGCTGTCTGACTGCCTGTCTGATGCGCTGCCCCTCTGTCTGTCTGACTCACTACCTGACTGTCTGACTGGCTGTCTGACTCACTGCCCGTTTGTCTGACTCGCTGTCTGTCTGACTCACTGCCTCTCTGACTCACTACCTGCCTATCTGACTCACTGCCCATCTGTCTCTCTGACTCACTGCCTGTCTGTCTGTCTGTCTGTCTGACTGCCTATCTGACTCACTGCCCATTTGTCTGTCTGACTCACTGCCTGGCTGTCTGACTGGCTGACTCACTGCCCATCTGCCTGTCTGACTCACTACCTGACTGTCTGACTGGCTGTCTGACTCACTGCCTGTCTGTCTGTCTGACTCACTGCCCGTCTGTCTGACTCGTTGCCCATCAGTCTGTCTGACTCACTGCCCGTCTGTCTGACTCGTTGCCCATCTGTCTGTCTGACTCACTGCCCGTCTGCCTGTCTGACTCACTGCCTGCCTGTCTAACTCATTGCCTGTCTGTCTGTCTGTCTGAGTCACTGCCTGTCTGACTCGTTGCCCATCTGTCTGTCTGACTCACTGCCCGTCTGCCTGTCTGGCTGTCTGACTGGCTGCCCATCTGTCTGTCTGACTCACTACCTGACTGTCTGACTGGCTGTCTGACTCACTGCCTGTCTGTCTGTCTGACTCGTTGCCCATCTGTCTGTCTGACTCACTGCCCGTCTGCCTGTCTGACTCACTGTAGCAAGTCAAGGGCACATGCTCTTTACAACATTTCAAAAACTCTTTGGATGGTTTTGCAAAGCTTATTACTGGCTTTTTGCCCAAGTACAACAGAAGCAATAATTACAGCATCATCATGCAAGGCTCTCGGTGAATGTCTCTGTGGTTGAGTGCAGGCAGGAGCAGCACCGACTCAGTCCTCCAGCAGCAGCAGTAAATGTTTCTGCAGTTTGCCGCCACAGACAGGAAAGGTGTTTTCAGTTAAAGGACCAGTGCAATGCTAGATGCTCCATGTGTTGGTACAGACTCATTGTGTTCATCTGACAGCGTCGTGCTACAGGTTGCCTGCTGTCATGTGTTACACCACGGTCTCTTGTATTGTGCTCATTAGTCTAGTCTCGTTGTTCTCACTGCTTCCTGTAATGTTCTGCTGAACAAGAACACCATAATAATCGAGGGCAGATTCAGTCCAGTCCCACAGCACATTAGTGATCTTAAAGCCCCAATTAGTGATCACATCACCAACTGGAAGCAACAGGCTACAGGGCAGGTTTTGTAGACTGGTCATGGGAGAAGTTAAACTCACTAATTTTAATATAAATTATGATGCGAGGTTTTACTGTATCATTGTGGAGAAAACAAAAGTCACCGTTCAGTTTCTGAACTGAGTAAAATCAGGTGTCGGGACCTTGAGAAGAGAAACTGCCTGTCAAGTTTGAATTTTGTATTTAGGGCACTGCAGCATCACCAGCGTGCGGCTACTATACAAAAGAGAAATATAGCAGCTGTCGTCCCGACTGCCATAAAAATCTAATTAGTTTGTTACAATAGGATTCAAAACAGATTGCAAGTGACAACACCTCGCAGTGTACCGATAAAGAAGGAGGGCAGTCAGCTACACCATCAGAATCAGAATCAGCTTTATTGGCCAGGTGTGTCGGACACGCAATGAATTTGGTACATCGGCTCTCAATGTGTATGTACATATCAACAAGCAAAGGAGTGTGCATGAGGAAAAGGGCTAAAAAAATAAGAGTAAAGTACTTATTAGGTGTTCATCAGAGTGATGGCCCGGGGAAAGAAACTGTCCTTGTCTTGGTTGTCTTGGCGTACAGTGACCTGTACCGCCGTCCGGAGGGGAGGAGTTCAAACTGACTGTGTCCAAGGTGTGATTCCTCTACTGAGCCTATTAAACAATATTAGAACTCTAGTATTGATTTGACACCGTGGCCACGTAGTAGAGGCAGAAGCCAAAGCTGTACTCTGATGTGGAAAAGTGGTTAGAGCAGCAAACCTACATGTCTGAGATGTCCTGTTACCCAGACAACCAGAGGCTGAGTGATGCTGTGTGTGTAGAGTACTGCTACAAAATGAGAGAAAGAACAAATCATTTTAACTTTACATTGCCTCATTTTTGCAAATTCAAAGAACTACCCTGATTCTGGTCCCTGGGAAGCTAGTATGCTCCCAATTTTCTTTGAGCACAAGTATAGAACAACAAGACACCCTACACACACACACACACACACACGTATTATATTTGCTTTGCCTCGTGACCTAGAAATGAAAAACTATTTTTTATGAGTTTCTGTGTGTGTATTTTTGTGGAGGTTGAGACAAAGAAAGAAATAAGTCAATAAGGAAGAGAGAGAAAGAAAGAGTTGTGTGTTTTGGTCTTTCTTTATGTGACAACTGCACTCGGTCTCTCCTGGCTTGTCACTGTGCGGCCAGCGAGTACTAATATGACTTGTGGATTCAGGCTGAACATTTAACTTGCCGGTGTTTTCGGTGTTTGCCTCTACCTCTGCTGCTCTCCAACAAATCAAAGACCTGAGACGGCAGCAGAGCTCGAGGAGAGCGGGCCATTGTTCCAACCAATGTTCCTGGTCTTTAGAGTTAACAAAAGTCAATAATATTTAATGCTGTCCAGAGACAACCAGACATGGAAGCAACTTCATACATTGTTCTGCTTAAGCTGGCATAACTTACTTTATCATATAATTTATTACCATATTAATCTACTTATAACGACTCACTACACAGTGTAGGTAGTGTCTTTTGCCTCACACGGGAGTTTTAAAGTTTTTTTAATCAATCTGACAGACTCTTCAACTCAGTTTCCGCAGCTTCATCTGCATAAAACACTCAGAGACCAACTTTCTTCCCTTTTACTGATGCATCCAGACACACTGAGTCAAATTTCATCAGACAGAATTAAAATAATGTGAGAAGTGGCCCAGCAATATGGACCACTGCAGGTCTGTGTGTAAAGAAGACAGGTAAGAGGTAAAGGATAGATGAGAACTCTAATGAGAAGTGTATCTTCACACCCCCGTGTTCATTAAACCATATTGCTACTCATGTCACTCAGGGAACCATTAGCATTAAGCCCACGGGCCCAGACTCACGGGGCTTTAAAGGAATAGTAATGGTCAGACAGACGGGGGAACAGAGGGTCCCTGATGGGCGAACACCTGGAATGAACCACAGTCTGTTCTGTTAGTCTGTCGCCTCCTCCAGACAGCTGAAGGAGACATTGGCTTCCATAAACGGGGTCATTTGGGCGCTAGCAAGTGAAGCAATCTGAGGGCGACTGAACAACAAATGCTGAGAAGTTTCTGATTCAAGACAAAAAGAGGGGACCTATA